CTCACCGTCATCCCCCAATACTTGTCGGGCGAGAAGTTGGAGCAGTCCACGACGGTCAGCTTGGTGCTGCGGGGGCGGGAAAATAGGAGCAGGTTGTTGCAACGTAAGTCACTTACTGGAGGAGGGGTACGCTGGACGAGGGGGACGCGGATATGTGGGCAACGGCAGCACGGCAGGAAGGAGGGGAGGAGGAGGAGCAGGCCGTTTGCGCTGTGCACCCGAGGGGGCAAAGCAGGAGCGGGCGGCTGGCGAGCGGCATCGCATGAGCGAGCCGGCTGCTGTGCCCTGCCCTGCGCTGCCGCTCCGCCGCGGCGGCGGCGGCGGCCGCGCTTGCCTGGTGCTCTCCTTGCACACGCGGCCCAGGCCCTCAGGTGTCCATCCCATCTGCCCGGACAGGCCGCGCATCACTATGGGCTCACCCCGCCCCCACACCTTTTGGAAGACCCTGCGGCGGCAAGCAGGGGCAGCGGCGGCCGCGGGAGGCGGCGAGGGTGCGTGGGTGGGGCGGCTCTTGCTCCCGGGTGCGGGTGGTGGGCCCTGGCGCCTGACCCTGACCCTGGGCCCGCCCCGCTCTACCCTGGGGCTCCCAGCTAGGCGTGTGCCAGGCTTGCTGAGACTAGCCTGCCAGGCCCCCGGCTGCGTTCTGAGGCTGCTGGGCGCACCCACACACCTCACGGTGCGTTCATAGTTGGGGTGGCCAGGGCTGAACTCGCTGACGTGCGGCGTCCAGATGAAGTCCTGCAGCCACGGGTGGAAAGGAAGGAGGGGATGGCATGAGGGGGGCGCCATGAAGGAGCAAAACAGTGGAGATGGGGAGGCCGCGTGGGGGGACAAGGGAAGCAAGCCAGCACGCCTGCTTGGCAGCGCATCCTGCCCCCAACGTCGCTGCGGTGCGGCGGCCACGAGCAGCGGCCGCACCGGCGGAGGCCGCAGGCTGCACCCCAGGCTCGCACCTGCACGCCGCGGTTGGATGCGAGGCGCACATCGCTCTCCGGCAGGCCCTCCTGCATCCACCAGAACTGGCGCTGCAGCAGCAGCCAACACAGCAAGGGTGGCACGACATGTGAGCAGCAAGGGGGGAAACGCACAGTGGCATGAGCACCAAGGGTCATGCCGAGCACCAAGCGGGACAGAGGCACAGCGCCTGCACCACCACCCCCAGTCCCAGCCTACCCTCTCCCGCTCTTCGTCTGTCAGCGCCTCCTCCGCCTCCTCTGCCGCTGCCCAGCCCGCCTGCGGCGCTGGCCCGCGTGACGCCACCGCTTGCAGTGTTGCCGAGATGCGTGCCCTGCTGCTGGCACGCAGCCCCGCATCCTCTTCCTCTGACGCCTGGCTCGGCTCCCGACTCTCCCGCATCTTCCAGCTCTCCTTCACAGAGCGCTTGGGGCGCCCCTCCACACCATTGGCCTGCACCTGCGCCTGCTGCTGCCCCATCCCCTGCTGCTGCAGCTGAGGCGGCTCGGCGTGCTGCGGCGGCACGGGCGGCGTGGGCTCCCTAGAGGGAGCCTGCGCCTCCAGCAGTGGCGGCAGGCTGTTGTGGTGCTGCGGCTGCAGCAGCGGGTGCAGGCCATTGTGCTGATGCTGTGGCAGCGAGTGCACGCCATTGTGCTGGTGTTGTGGCAGCAGCGCAGGCTGGTGGGGCAGCACACCCTGCGAGCTCCACCCATTTGCAAGTGCATCACTCTTCTCCAATATATCAGTGATTGGGAGAAGCTGCTGCTCCCGCTCCTCCTGCTGCTGCTGCTGCTGCCCCTGCTGCTGCTCCTGCTGCTGCTGCGCCTGCTGCTGCGCCTCCTGCTGCTGCCGCTGCCGCTGCTCCTGCTGCTGCTGCTGCGCCTCCTGCTGCTGCCGTTGCAGCTGCTCCTGCTGCTGCCGCTGCTGCAGCTCGGCAGGGGTGGGCACTGGAGGCCGCGCCGGAAGCGAGCTGCCGCTCATGCCTGAGGGCAAGATGCCGCTGGCGAGCAGGCCGTTGGGCGCTGGCTGCTGGGCGCACAGCAGATGCTGCCGCTGCTCTGCCGCCAGAGCTGGAGCCGCCCCCTGCTGCTGCTGCTGCGGCGGCGGCGGCGGCGGCTGCAGGCACTGGCATTGCTGCGGCTGCAGCCACTGCATGGGCTGCTGCTGCTGCTGCATGGGCTGCTGCTGCTGCATGGACTGCCGCTGGAAAGCCACCGCGTGCAAATGCTCCGCCAGTGTCTGCAGCTGCTGATCGTGCTGCGGCAGTGGCGGCGCTGCAGCCGGCGCAGGCGGCAGCTGCGGGGGCGGCGGGTGCCTTGCGCTGTGCTGCGCCAATAGCTCCAGCTGCCGCATCCAATCGACACCCTCCGGCACCACGCGCCACCGTGTCTGTCCGCTGGCCCCGCCGCCGCCGTCCGGGCCCTCGCACAGCCAGCGCAGCCGGGCGGCCCGCCCTGCGGCGCCGCTGACGGTGCGGCCCAGGGCTGCGTCCAGCAGCTGCCGCGCCTGCAGCAGCTGCCGCAGCTGCTCCTCGGGAAGGAAGCGCATGGGCTCCATCTGGACGTCGCACCACTCGCACATGACTGCAACCAGGCGTAGCAGCAGGACACGCGCCAACACTGAACGATACAGCACTACACACCACCAGCCTCCCAAGTGCATGGAAGAAAGCAGGCACACACAATGGAGAAGCAGCGCTGCGGCTGCCATGTCCGGCAGAGGCTGACATGAACGAGTTGGCTGCTCACCCTGCGCCGCCGCCGCCGGCCCGCCGCCGTGCGCCGCCCGCCGCTCCCTGCACGGAAGCCAGATGCAGCGCGGCGACATCAGTGAGGCCGCGGCAGCCCGTTCCTTTTTCACACATAGCATCGGATGTGTGCACAACCAGTGGCGAAAGACAGAGTGGAAGCCAAAGCAAGGACACATGCAGGCAAAGCGGTGTGTGCAAGGTACCGGCGCTGACCTGGCGCACGCGGGGCACAGGTCGTCCTCGCACTTAGCGCAGTGGTAGTGGAAGTTCTCCAGGCAGGTGCCGCACAGGTTGCACAGCGCACGCTCTGCGGCGGGAAAGGGTAGCCCGGGCAGGGCGCAGTGACGCACTCAGCAGGTAAGGGTGGCCAGCCAGGGGACAGCAACGGGGAAGTAGCAAGTCCCACTGCCAGGAGACACGGCAAGGGTCGATGGAACAGCGGAAGGGCCAGGGAAGGAGGCTAGGGGAGGCACCGACCCGAGTGTGGAGCGCGGCGGTTGTGCCAGTACCCAATCCGTGCCTCTCGCACGGCCAGCAGGTCGGTGCCTGCAACCGCAGCCTGCAGGGCCGGCAGGCATGCACACCAGGGTTAGAAGAACAGCTTCAGCTGCCTGCGGTGTCCCCTGGGAGGTATCAGCGCCAAACCGAGGTGGTATCAGCAGCATGCCAGCACAGATTCTGCCAAGCAAGCGGCTGGTTTGGTGCAGCAGGGTACAGCCACACGCTGCTGCCCCCCTGCCTTCCTGCGTAGCCTCCCTGCCTTCCTGTGCAGCTGCCCTTTCCTGCCGTCCAAGCACAGCGCAACGCGCTCTTCCCAACCTCGTACCCACCTCCTCCTGCTGCGCCGCCATGATGCGCTCCACATGCGGCAGCAGCTTGTGGGCCAGGTGGTAGGCAAACATCAGCTGCTGGCTGGTGCTGCAGCTCGGGGCAGGAGCGGAGGCAGGGCACGGGTGAACCGCAGGTGGTGCCGGTAGCAGGCACGCATGCAGGCTATGCACTTGTGGTGCAGCACTGCGTGGGCTGCTGCCGCTCACCTGAACCTGGGCTCCGGCGGCGCCCCGCCCAGCTCCTTGAGCGTCTTGCAGCGGCACTTGGCCCTGCACAAGCAGCGCGGCAGCAGCAGCGGCAGCAGCAGGCAAAGGTGGCTGCACGGTACTGGAGGCAGGCACATGGGGCAGTCTGTCTGGCGCCCTTCCCGCAGCACAGCCAAGCGGCCGCCGAGCGTGTGCACGCGGGCTAGCAGCAGAGCAGAGGCTCACGTGACGCAGATGCGCAGGCAGCAGGGGCAGACGCCGCGGCAGAAGTCGAGGCGCAGGCGGTAGTTGGGGTGGCCTGGGCGAAAGTCCAGTACGTAGCGGTACAGCCCGATGCACCTGCGGTACGGTATGGAAGCAACACATCTTGGTGCGTGTGCATGAAGCAGCCAGAGCGCATGCCGTCCTGCACCGCTCCCGAACAAGGTGCGGGCCGCCGCCGCCAGCTCATGGATCCGAGACTGCCCCGGTGGTGCTGGTGTGGCACCGACCTGGGGCAGTACGTCTTGCTGCAGACCCCGCTCGTGCACGGCAGCTTGTAGGTCGGCCCCTGGCAATCGTGGCAGCACCCCACCTCGACGCCGCCAGCCAGCGCCTGCACCCCCAGGCGGGCAGGGGCAGCGGCAGCAGGAGGGTGGATGTCCACAGCAGGCGCCTACCAGAGTCAGAGTTCTCGACGAAGAGACTGGAGCACAGAGCATCAAAAAAACAACACTGAGGTGGCTGGAAAAGGCCCGCGCACCTCCCACTTGGCCCGATGCTCCCTGGCGTCTCGAGGCAGCACCTCGCCCAGGATTCCTTCGCGGTCAAGCCAGTAGCAGCGAGCCGGGGCAGGCACCAGCTGCGCTGGAGTGGCTGCCGCCGCTGCCGGCTGCAGCGGCCAGGCAACTGTTGCAGCTGCCGCGGGCTGGCCTGCAGCGCCAGGCCTGGGCCGCTTGGCCTGGCGCGGGACGCCCTGGGCGGCAGCCGCCTGCGCCGCCTGCGCCGCCACTGGTGCAAGCGAGGGCGCTGCTGCCTTGGGCGGCCGTGAAGCAGCCGCCTTGGGCGCAGGCGCGGCCGCTGCAACGGCTGGCGCGGGTGCTGCAACGGCTGGCGCTGCGGCTGCGGGGGGAGGGCTGCCTCTGAGGGAGGCCTTCACCCCGTGTGCAGCTGCCAGGGCAGCCCTACGGGGCGGCCTACCGGCTTGCAGGTCCAGCTCAGCGCCGCCCCCCACCAGCAGCTGCACCTCAGCAGCGAGCCGCTTGGGTGGGCGCTGCTGCTGCGCCGCTGCCTGCTGGCCGGCAGCCCCCTGGGCCTGTGCCTTTGCCGGCCCATCTCGCCGCTGCTTCTTGCTGGCAGGCTGCTCTGCCTGCAGCGGCACACCCCCACCCAGCTCAGCTGGCAGGGCCATGCGCCGCCCACCCTCCTGCTTCGCCTGCTGCTCGGCCTGTGCCCGCTTGCGCCCCGCCGCAGGCGGGCCCTGCTTGCCGCGCCCATGCTGCTCCTGCGGCCTGCCCGCCTGCTCCAGCCGCCACTGGGGGTTGCGGCCTCCCGGCACCAGCTTCTCGGTCCGCTCATCTCTGTCATCGTAGAGAATCTTGTGCCTCCTGCAGAGCACAGGAGAGTGGCACAGATGTGTGGCACTGGTGTCACCAAGGATCTTGGATTGCTCGAGTGCTCAGCCCGCAGCAGCGCAGACAGTGGGACACTGCGGCAGGCAGCAGCCCCTCCGCTGCAGAGCAAACCATGGCACAGTTGCAGCAGGAAAGTGGGAAGGGACCTACCCGTCAGGGAAGAGCGACACCACTGTGCCAGGATACCATGCACGATCATCCTCCCAGTACACTGCAGTACGAGCCGCGGCAGCACCGAACAAGGCGGGTCGGCAGAACCGAACAGAGCGGGGCAATGCAGAATGTGCCCGAAGATTGCAAGATGCAGCTGGCTGGCACCTTTGCTAGCCTGCTGCGTGCCACCGTGGGTGTGCCATACAGTCGTACCGCACCTTCTATGCGGCATCCCGAAAGCTCCTCCCCTCGCGGCTGTGCCCCTGCCCCCGGCACACCCTTCTGCTGCTTTCCCTGCTGCTGCTGCTCCTGCTCCACAGCATAAGGGCCCTGGTATGGGGAGGCGGCATCTGTCTCGCTGCTGCGCCGCTGCTTCTTGGAGCCGGGCCAGGCTACCGCCTCGCCCGCCTCGCCCGCCAGAATGTGCCGCACCAGCAGCTTGGCCTGCTTGCCGCTGCCCTGCCGCTTGAAGGCAATCACATCGCCCTCCTGAGCTGCATTGTCTTCTATCCACTGTGCGAAAGCGCCGCCCTGCATGGTTGGCAGAGAGGCACAGGAGGGTGTGGCACCGGAGGGTGTGGCACGGTATGCCGGCGTGCTGGCAGGAGGCGGATGAAGCAGCCAGCCATGCAAACGCACGAGCGCGATCCAGCGTGGCAGCCATCAGCCGCGCCTGCAGATAGTGTGAGCCGCTGCTCGGCTCGGAACAGTAGGGCAGGGCATAGGACTTCCTGCTAGGCTCGTCCAGGGCTTCCACCTTGGTCGTCTTGTCTGTAGCAGCCTCGCCAGTGAGCTTTTCAAACACGCGAGCTGCAACAAACAGTTGGCGTGGGTTTGTGGAACAACAGGAGTGGGACCCCCGAACCAACAAAGTCATCCAAATGATTTGTTTTGTGTGGTCCTGTGGCTCAATCTGCAGCTGGCAGCCCAACCAGGAACACCGCGGCAGGGGCGCACCTGGCAGGCCGAGCTTCCTGCGGTGCTTGTGGCAGGCGGTGGCGTTCAGGCTGCAGCGCAACCAGCCTTCAGAGTCCATGGTCCACTTCCACCTGCCGGACGCCGGCGGCACCTCAGCTGCCGCAGCTGGTGCTGCTGCGACCTGCTTGGGCCTATCACCAGACGCTTTGCGCTGCTGATGCTGCTGTGCTGGAGCTGCAGCAGCGGCCGCTGGTGCAGCCTGAGATCTGGAGCGGACGAGGCGCGCTGCTGGCGCTGCCGCCGCTGCTGCTGCTGCAAATGGCGGGGCAGGCTCGGTGCTGGCGGCCAAGCCCTGCCTGCTGCTGCCGCCAGCGGCTGCCCCGCTGCTGCCGCTCGCCTTGCGGACCGTATCTGCCGCATTCCAACGGCCCCCTGTGGAAGCCGGCTGCTTCTGGTTGCCCCTGGGAGGCAGGCCGAGCCGCAGCGCCTCCTCTACCACTGCCTTTGGGTCACTTTCCCAGGCCGCCACCCTAGCCTTGTTGGCTGCCTGGACAGCGGCGGCCTCCAGCGGCACAGCCCACGTGTGCGGGAAGCAGCCGGCCGCGTGCGCGACAGTCAGGTCGGCCTTGGCCTGGCCGCCCTCAATGCCATCTGTATCCTGGATGATGCAGCTGCCCAGCGTGGCGCCAGCTGGCGCGCCCCACTGCAGCAGCTGCTGCAGGTACGCAAAGGCGTCCTGGTGTGCGGCATTGTACTGCGGTGCCTCGCCCAGCACCCGCTTCAGCACCGCATGCAGCGCCTGTCGGTCGCGCCTGGTGACCTGCGCCTGGTCGCTGCAAGGAGCAGATGGGCGCGGGGAGCAGCCAGGGTCAGCGGCCAGCCGGGGCATGCACCTGCCCCTCAATTCTCGCTGTGTAGAACAGCAAGGGCTGCAAGGTTTGCAAGGAGAGAACCACCGCGTCCCTCACCGTACGCTGGGGATCAGCCGTTGCAGGCTACCCACAAGAAAGCGCAGCCGCTCCGACTCGCTCGAGCTTCTGCTGGCTGGCAGGTTGGACAGGCGCAGCAGCCGGTCCCTGCCGCCGCCCGCCTGCGGCTGCTGCGGCTGACTGGTGGTGCCAGCCCCAGGGTCCACCTGCGAGGAAACGCACAGGGCGGCACAGGCCGGTGGCGGCACGTCGCAAAACGCAACAGCGGCGGCGCTATGGCGGTTCACAACCGAAGCCACGGGCTCTCGGCTTCGTCCATTCCAGCACATCCACAGCCTCTCAGGGTGTCAGGAGGGCCCCCGCACCTGCTGTTTCGCCATTTCAAGGCGCCCGTGTTGGCTGCGGTGGGCCACGCTCTACACGCCTCTCATAACTTGCTGGTGACCGTATCACGAGAAGTTGGCGGTGTGCAGGACCCCGCAGGGGGCGGGACTCGCACAAAAGCAAATCGATGGGGAGCTTGGCGCCCAGGAGGGAGGAAGGGCCTCGATATTTCGAATTACTGCGTGAAAGGAGGTATAAAAGGCGGCGCAGGGCGATTGAGGCAGCCAGGCCACGCCGCAACACAGCACGCCGCACGCCAGGCAGCCTGAATTTGTTTCGTGCCGTCTGGGTGCTTGCTGGCTTTGGTTGCATTGGACCGCACGTCACGACATCCCTCGGCATTGCCGACGGCGGACAGGGATTGCCACGGCTGCTCCCAGCTGCCGCTCGAATGCTGGGACTCACGTTTGCTGCCGCAGGGGCTGTGGCAGGGGCTGCACAGGGACTGGTGAAGGTCACCGGCAAGGAGGTGCGCCGCGGGAGGGGTTCCATTCAGAGAGACCTGTGGGCTGCCGCCACCCACGGTGACCGCCTGTTTGTGGGGCCTGCAGATGCTGGGCCTGGTGCACACCAGCCCGGCCCCTGGCAGGCCTGCGTACCACCACCTGCACAAGCCCCTGATCAACCTGGTGGTCGTGGGTGACCAGGGGTGAGAGATGGCTGCCGCCTGCGCGTCCGGGCGTGTTTGACCGCATGCTGAAGCCATCTCCCGCCTCCACCCACGGCCCACGTCACCCACTGTGCCCTCCCCTGTCCCCCTTCCGTGTTACTTACAGCTGCGGCAAGGCAGCACTGGTGCAGGCCTTTGCGGGGGGCCGGCAGCAGGAGGTGGCCGCAGCCGCCTCCACCAGCACCCAGAGCCGCGCCGACTTCCAGCTCCTGCAGTGTGTGGTGGATGAGCAGCAGCCCGTGTCCCTCTGTCTCTGGAACGTGCGCAGCAGGGAGGAGGCCCGAGACCTGGGATCAGTCTTCTACTCCCTTGCCTCTGCCTTCCTTGTGGTGTACAGCCCCGGGCAGCAACATCCAGCAGAGGCGCTCGAGCACTGGGCGGCGCAGTGCGGCGGCGGCGCCGCAGCGGGCGCGCCGCCGCTTGTTGTGGTGGCCAGCTGCCGCCCCGACGGCGACGACGCGGAGCAGGAGGCGGCGGTGGCAGAGGCCGAGGAGTGGTGCCAGCGGCGCGGCGGGCTGCCGCACTTCATCGTGCGCGGCCTGGAGGTGCGGCGGCGCCCCCCACACCCACACAAAACGGGCTGAGAATGGCGGCCGCCTGCAGCTCCGCAAGCCCAGCATTGCCTTGTCCTTGACCAAGGTCACCCCTCACCTCATCCTGCCGCGGTGCAGTCACTGGCACCACCTGTGCCCTCCCCTGCTGCCTCCTGCAGGACCTGCACACCATCCATGCCGCTTTCCTGGAGGCGCTGCGGCTGGCGCTGAGGGGACACAGCGAGCTTTCGCCTATGCAGGCAAGCAGGGCCTCATTGCAGGCAGAAAACGTGTACATGGCTGGCAGCTGAGGCGGGGAGTGGGCTGAGGTGCTGGCGTGCGCCGGCGCGGCTGCATTTTCGATGCGCGCCGCCTGCACACTGTTCCATGCACCAGCACGCTGCCTTCCCCGCCCCCTGCAGAGCGAGCTGATCCCGGCGCTACACAGGCTCGATGGCCAGCCTGCCTTGGTGCGCCAGGCCACCTAGAGCAACAGGCAGCCTGCTTGATTGATCTGCTGCTCGTGTTGTCTGCTGCCCGCTTTGAGAGCACCCTCATTATGTCACTCCCTCCTGTTTGCGCTGCGGCTCACAAAGCTGGGTCCTTAGATGTCCAAGCCTGCCTCTCCTCTCTAGACATCCATAACCGATGTTACATGCGGCTCCCGTGGGTAAACTTGCGGGCAGCACAAACGGCAACTATGTCCTGAGCAGGTGTTATCTGTCAATACAGAGGCATGATGGAAGACGCGGCGGGCAGATGCTGCTACGTCGGACAAAGGGGCGCCAGGGGTGGGGTGGCGCCGCAAAGGCGTGTCATGTGTCGTTCAGGCGGGAAAACAAAGGGCGAAGGTGTGTGGTCCTGGATTCGCGTGCTGTCAACCTTGAGCAGTCCAGCGTGTGGGGGCTGGCAAGCCTCCCGGCCGCCTCTGCTGGGCGTCTTTGCTGGCAGCAGCTGCTCACGCGCGCTCGCCGCGGATGCGCCGTGCCAGCTGGATGTCCTTGGGCATGATGGTGACGCGCTTGGCGTGGATGGCGCACAGGTTGGTGTCCTCAAACAGGCCCACCAGGTAGGCCTCGGCGGCCTCCTGCAGCGCCAGCACGGCGCTGGACTGGAAGCGCAGGTCTGTCTTGAAGTCCTGAGCGATCTCACGCACCAGGCGCTGGAAGGGCAGCTTGCGGATGAGCAGCTCAGTGGACTTCTGGTACTTGCGGATCTCACGCCTGCGGCACCGGGGGGTGAGCGACCAAAAATGAGTGAGCAAGCTAGGCAGCAGCAGGTGGGGCTGCACCCGATCCTACCACAGCAGCCCGAGTCCCTGCGCTGCCCTTGCAAAGACCCCCCGCACTCACAGCGCCACGGTGCCGGGCCTGTAGCGATGCGGCTTCTTCACGCCGCCGGTGGTGGGCGCCGACTTGCGGGCCGCTGCGGGCGAGGGAGGGGAGCAGGGCCACGACCAGTCAGACCGTGGTTGATGGCAGGGACCTGGAGAGAGGCTGGCCTGGAAGCCGAACGCAACGCGGCGCACGCCAGTTTTGTCGGAGCCACCGCCCGCCATGCCTGGGGGCTGCCGCCCCGCCCCGGGGCGACCGCGGGCTACGTTGCAGCCGTGTCGCTGACGCCTGCTGGGGGTTCTGGAGGGCGCCGCCAGGGGCGGGCTGCGCTGAGGGGCCTCGGCACGGCTGCACCAGCCTCGGCGGGCGCTGCGCAGCGAGCGCGGCCCACCGGCACCTCAAACCGTCCTCCCCGGCCCCCCTCAAACTCACCCTTGGTGGCCAGCTGCTTGCGGGGCGCCTTGCCGCCCGTGGACTTGCGCGCTGTCTGCTTGGTGCGGGCCATGGTGACGGCAGGGGCGATAGGGGTGCCGTGGGGGTCCTTTCCGGGCGTTTTAGTGATGTTACTAGCTGGGGCGGTACGCACGCTGGGCAGGGCGGGGCGCCACCCCCGCCGCTTCCCGCCCCGACGTTGTCGCCGGCCCCGCATGTCCTATACGCCTTTATATAGCTGATAAAAGCGACAGCAAACCGCTTGCAGCTGGCGGGCGACAACCAGCAGCAGTTGGCCGTCTCCACAGGTGCAACGGCAAAATGTTGCCTTTCATTCCTGCCGGGATTGCAGGGGGCTCGGCTTAAGGCTCGGCCCTGAAATCCACATATTTGAAGAAACAACGCCGCCTAGCGGGCAAGCTTCACGGACGTGGAAAGCCATTTTGGTCGTCGGCCAGCTGGCAGCGGCGCACCGCAGTGTTGGACCTATGAAGGGCAAGCAGTGGGGAGCGGTGGCTGCTGTCCAGGCATTGGATCTGCCCTGTAGCCCACCGACAGCCCACTGGCAGCCCTGATCGAGGCTGGCCCTCACTGACCGAGTTGCGAAAACCCCTGTCCCGCGCCTAGGGCCATGCTTAGAGCTGCCAAGCGGCTGGCGGAAGCCGGCTCTCGCCTCAAGGCGGTGCAGAACCAGCAGCAGAGGTTCCTCAATGTCCACGAGTACCAAGTGAGTAAACCCTGGCCCTAGCGCGCCTCTGGGGCGACCCGTGGGGTTGTTTCATTGCGGTGGCCGCGTCGAGAAAGGCCCCAGCCGCCCAGCAGGCCTCCCCAGCGCCACACCACGAGCCGCCGCCGGCGATGGCGGCACCCAGCGCAGGCAGCGGCAGCACCTAGCCCTCCCCACGCTCCCTGCACCCGCAGGGCGCGCAAATCATGAGCCAGTACGGCATCAACGTGCCTCCGGGCATCCCCGTGCATAAGGTGGAGGAGGTGGGGCCGGCGGCGCAGAAAATGGCGGACGAGAATGGCGAGGTGCGGCCGCTGTTGCCTGTGGCGGCTCCTTGTCGTGGCTGGGCGTCTGGCTGTTGAGTGTCCGCCGTGTGCCAGCACCGGCCTGTGCGCTGCTGTCGCTGGCAGGGGCCGGCGGGGTGTACTGCCGCACCTGCTGTCCTGATGGCGCTGTTTGGATGGGAGGGAGCAGTGTTATCCCCACTCATGGCCAGGGCTACATTCAAACACAATGCGGCACAACCACCGATCTGCTGCCACGCGCAGGTGGTGGTCAAGTCCCAGATCCTGGCGGGCGGCCGCGGCCTGGGCAAGTTCACAAACGGGCTGCAGGTGGGGCGGCGGCGGCGGGGGCCGGCGCAGCCCGCAGAAGCAGCTGCCGTGAAGAGTGTGCCTGGAGCTGGCAGGCTAGCTGGAGCCACGGCTGCTTTCACTGCTGCTGCTTTCGACTGCTGCTGCTGCTGCGCCCCTGGCGCAGGGCGGCGTGCACATCTGCAAGGCGTCGGAGGCGCCTTCCCTGGCGGCCAAGATGCTGGGCGGCACGCTTGTGACCAAGCAGGCGCGTCCCCGGCGGCCTGGCCCCGCCGTGCCTGCCGCCAAGTGCCGCCAGCCACGCACGCCTCGCCGCATGTTCTCAGCACAGGCTGCACTACGCTGCACGCCGCCGCCTGCCTGCCGCGGCATTACATGAGCAATAACCCCACCCCACCCACACCTCCGCCACCGCACCCCGGCCCTGCCTCGCCTCCCTCGCAGTCGGGCGCCAAGGGCAAGCCGGTCAACACGCTG